TCTTCTTGCCAAAACTAATACAGCTTATCCCTCAAAGGGGATGAAATGTCTAAGATTAATAGTGACTACTAAAAATTCAAACAACCCTCCATTGCAACTCAATTAAATCAGCTCACACAATGGTTTACTCAACTCTCAAGAATTCGTACTGTCTAATTCTTGTCATTACTTTCAAAACAAAAACAGCTTCTGCTATTAACGGCAGCTCTGCCTCCAGCTTATCTGCTGGTGGAAACAGATAGCAATACTGCATTTTTCAGCACATTAATATTGTATACTGTATGTAACTGAAGTGCACCAACACTCTTTGAAGCATATCATGTAAACAACATGTTCCATTCACTAGAGTCCAAATAAAACCACCAGATATTGCAAGTATGCACAACACTAATACATGCAAACCCCTCTCGTGGTTACTGTCTGTCGCAATTTTAAATAATAATTGAGATTGCAACAGCTTTGTTAGAAGCTGGAAGTAATTACTAATTTATTTGGGGCATGTGATCGAATATGTAAAGCATGTGTGAACAGGGCAAGTGAGGAAATTATGTGAACAAAATTACAAAATATATTTGTCTATCTGAAATAAACAAGAAAAGAAAATAAGATGACATGGTCAATGCAAAACCCTAGATTTAAAAGCATTTACCTGACTTTCCAAGGCTTGTGCACATACATTTGGGTATCTGTTCTTACTGTACCAACCCACAAACTATGGAATTAGACCACTCAGTCAGTATAATGTGGGCTGCCTCAGACAGAAACATCAGATGTGTCTGCCCTTCCAATGTCACAAACGTTCTTCAGAATATATCACACCCTATCTTAATATCAGCTAAAGTTTGACCTTTACCTAAGATTTACCTTTGCAAAGGTCATACGTTTCTTGACAGCCAATCAGAGCACACATTTCTTCGAGAGGGGGGATTGAAGGGACAGAAAGATGCTGCATGAGAATGTGTTTTGTTGAACATTTAAGCATGAAAACATGTTCTTCTAGAAAAGAAAAAAAAACAGTATGAACTTGAGATATAGTATGTCCTCTCTAAACAGACATTACAAGTTTAGGAATGAAATTATATTCATGCATACGTGCACATTAAAAATAATATAAAAAGATGATGCAGAATGATGAATCTGACCAAGGCGCCATTTGAATAATATAATATGCTCTCTGACACATTCATTAACTTCTTTAAGCTGTACGTGTTGATAAAGGAAAAGGCTTTGAGAGTGAATCAGAGTAGATAAGACAGGCTGCTTTCTTTCATCAACTGGCCCGTGAAGTAACCCCCTCATATCTGATTGTTTTCACCTTCAGTGACCTTTTCGGAACAGTCGAAACATGGGCAAAAACACATTTCTTGTAATTTATTTCTACAATGACAGAAAGGTCACATCTGTCACCAAAAACGATCATTTACGCTGAGTGTAATTTAGGCCCTGTTGGTTCAACACCAATACACATTTTTCTTATGTTCATGGCAGACCTGCTGATCTGAGGCACTCAATAAGCTGGGGGTATTTTAAAAGCTATCAGCCAAGTTGATTACAGAGATTTAAGCAACTATTTAAGGGCAGCGGCTAATTAGCACTAAATCTAGATCCGATCCATTTACTGCAGCTAATCTTTAAATTACCTGTCCAAAGTGATCCATGTTTGAAAACTGAGCAACTACTGGTTCCAACTCAGTCAGCTTCAGATAATGTCACAATTTAAAATCATCAGGGAACATTTCAGATCTTAGAATACAGGGCCTTCCAATAATACTATTCATTCATTCATAGAAAATCCATATGTAATTATGGTAAAAGCAAAGGCTGTGATTACTTTTGTCCAGATTAGTAATGTACTCCACGTCACTCTCTTTCGCATCCATTTGCATCAGGCAATAAAGAACAAATGTGACTGCAAAAGAGACTGGAGAAGACAATGTGTCATTTGTGAATATTCTTAAATTTCAGACGCAATCCAGCTGAAGTTTCTGCCTCAACTGATGGTTTCATTCCTGGTGGCTCTCTTGTGGGTTTTTCTCAAATCTAATATGGAATCTTTCTTGCATTAAATGGGTTTTTTGTTGAATCTTATCAAGACACATCCGGCTGCATGCATCCTTTATCTGCACTGGGAATATATTTGTTTTCCTCAATGCTTCTATCAGCTGTAAACAAGAGCAGTGGACAGCAGATGGACACGATGCACATGTTGGGAAGACCCAGCCCATGACAACTGAGTGCATGGTAACTCTGCATTGTATTCATATTTGGCACCGATGGTGTGATCTTAAATGATGCAGTCAGTTGATTGAGCTGTTACGGAGCCCGATGAAGCCTGCTAGAGAGGAAATAACCAAGATGGAGTAAGTTGTCTGTCAGCTTTACCCTGTATCAAAAAGGACATTTGGTGCCTGTTACTGAGTAACACCTGAGCAAACGTGAACCTCCCCTGACTCAGAGGTGGTACTCAGCGCCATCCTCCCCTGTGATTTGCCACAGTGGGGGAAGGCAGGGGGTGGACAATACACAGGACTGGCAATACATATCCTTGCTGGGAGAAACTCTTAGCACTGCTTTCTTTTTCCCCGCTGTGCAGGAACACGAAAGTGGCAATACATCAGCTTTAGAAAGTGGGTTAGGAATACAGTTCTATCTCCAGGTGGAACAAGAAATTACATGTTCAACTGGTGTTACTTATCCGACTGAGCATGTGATGTGCCCTTAAATAAACTTTGGGATTATGTTGTTTTGTCAAATCATGGTGCTTGCAAACATACTAATAAGCATACAGTACACGGTTACAAAAAAAGGGCAACACCCAGACAACTTCAACAAGAAAGGCTCTTAATAGTGATCAACCTAACTCTAGAAAAATGCTAACAGACTGATACATGCTTAAATGGTGAAACATAAGCTTGATTGTGAATTATGCAGCATATTTTTGCAATAACCACAAGGATGGATTTCCTTTAAAATGTCGAGGGGCCAAGAGAGTAGGAATGGTATTAACCATTTTGAATACTACAAACTGTTCAGTGAGAAATATGCATTCATGTTCCATCTCCACAAAGCCCAATCAATAATGTGGTTAAAAAATATGTTTTCACTTAACCGTTATCACGCTGAGAATCATTGCCCTATCCTCTTTAAATGTATCATGACCTTATCCACAAAAGCTGTTTGATTTACATTCAAACTGCCTGAACATGACTTTCATGGTTACATAACACAGTTCTAAAAATGAAACTCTTTAATTTCATCTTCATCATTTACTGTACCTCTGACAATTAAGGTTTAATAAAGTAGCTGCATGATTCTCCCATTTGCAAAAGAAAAAAAGAAAAATCATTATAACAAGTTGCCTTGCTGTTTCGATCTGAAAAACATTTTGATGACCATGAAAAGTTCTCTCATGGAGCAGTTTACCTTCATTTACAGCGCTTACACTTGAATAGATTAAATACCATTTTCTCTGCACTGGCAGCTGTCAAATCATCACTTCATAAACTGAGGTGAGTCCTCAGAGATGGAAATAAATATATGTGTAATGTCTCACCAAATAAACCCAGAGGCATGATTCCCATTTTAATGACATCTACAGTGTAGGATGATCTTTTTTCCTCAATTTCTTTTTGATCAGTAATTTCACTGTGACAAAGTAATTATTAGCATGCACTGGCAAAGTTGACAGAACCCATTAATCAATATTCAAGACTGAAACATGTGGTTCAATTCATTATCTTCATAGCTATTAATAAAAGTTATTAGTTGTAATTAGAGTGCTGAAAGTGCTGTTGAAAAAGGCTTCTCAATGTGGAACGAGATTCCAGAGGTGGGGATGCTGAATGTGTATCTTCTGTTAATTAAAAACTAGCCCCCTAATTACTCCTGTAATTACAAAACACAGCATTTTCAAAAAGTGGGGATAATAAAGGAAAAAAACATCTGCGTTCATTCATGAACATTAGCAGCGATAATCAGGTTTGGTTCAAGTCATTTCCAAAAACAACAAACAACAACACTGCCCAAAAAAATGCCAGAGTCTATGATGTTAGGGTTGTTAGGAAGCTAAATCTTGATTCAATGTACAAAACAGGAAAGACTGTAGAAGGCTCTTCAAATCTCTAACAGTTTAAAAACTGCACATCTGAAGAAACAAGCCATAGCAACTAGCATGTATATTTGTTTTATAGATCAGTGGCATCCGTAACCATACAGACACTTTGGTATTTATGCTACTGTACAGTGTCAGCCAGGAAGAACATGGGCAACAAGAGAAAATGCATATAAAACATGAAAGAAAGAGACAGTGTATGAATCAAATATTCTCTGGCAGGATACTTTCTTTTTTTCAAAAGGTAGAAGTCATTTTTGATGGTGGGTAGCAAGAAAAAACTTCCTATGATTTCACCACTCACTGCATAATGAAAATACAAATCTAATAGGAAACAGATAATATTCAATGGTAATGAAGCGAAAACCTACGCCACCAAATATCAGGACAAAGCATTAAGTACTGAAGAGCAGCAGAAAAATAAAAAGTATGAAAAGCAGGCTTGTCAGAAGGTCTTCGGTTTGCCTGCACAGTGTGTCTGGGAAAATGTGGGATGGGAAAGCAAATGAGAAATATTCTCCTCCCTCATCTACCGCTGAGGTGTCCTTGAACCAGGGACAACCCCCCAGCTGCTCCAGTGGAGCTGCACAGCGGCCAAATAGAGGAAAGGCATGGCTGGGTGAGGCAGGCAGCTCCCTGGTGAGAACATGTGAATCTATACATATGTGAAGCAGAAGCAGGTTGAATCTGAGAAATATCAAGCATGTTCATCGGACCTCTCCTGGAGAAATAAAGGTTAAAAAAAACGCCCAGAAAAGCTTTCCAAAAAGCAGCGTATGTTAATGCTTCCCAGGCTCTAGGGGGAGATAAAAGGGCGATCCAAACATTGTTTATTGGGAACTGTGTGCAACATAAATCATGTAGCAAGAAAATGGAGGCAATAACTCACCTTTCGCTTTGCTTTTTGTCCCAGCCACTGATAGCATGAGGGGGTAGAGCAAGGAAACAGCAGGTTAGATAGTACAGTATGAAGGATCCACATTGATAGCATGATAATTATTTGTTCAACCAATGGTAACATGAAGTGTAATATGAAATGTTATAAGCGTGGAAATGGGATTAGTATAGTCAGGATTCATACATTACCATGTCATGACATATAAAATGCATCAGCACAAGACTCAAATGAGACAAGAATACATGAATACATACCTCCCCCCCTTTAAATTCTAAAAATAGGCATCTATAGCTTGGAGTCAATATAATGTGGTGATAGTTATTGGAAAACATAATGGAAAATACTTTACACACACATGTTCTGCATTGCCTCTACCAGCAAACTGTATTGCGCTTCAACTCTTGATCATCCCACAAAATCAATTTGTATTTATTCCATAGAATTGTTGACGGAGAAATATAAAGAGCATGGAAAGTCCACGTTGGAAAAAAGTCTAGTTGGGTCTAACAAAACTGCACCAGGAGATTGCCGTTTTTGTCCTGTGTAAAACTAGAGGTGATTTATCAAGACTGTATGGATACAACAATTGTAAATGTATGTGTTGCTCGACATACCCAAGAGAATGCACTCACTCTAAAAAACCTTTTCAACCGTGGTGTCTGTTCACAAGAGGAAATTGTAATCTGGAGAAAGATTATCGTATTGCCTCACTCAAGACAAAAAATACAAAACAAACAACGGACCAGGAGGAAGAAGTTAAACACTAAGACAAAATCCAACATTGACATTTTGATTTCCCCAGGTTACAAAATTAGAGGAGGAGAATCAAATAAGCACCCTCCGCATCAAAGAGGACATATTTCTGTCTTGGTTTTTGTACAGACAAAAAATAAATCATGGAAACACTAAAGACTTCATGATCAAACTCTTTAGGAATGCAAGTTATTCAAAGCTGACAACATTTACTCCAGAGGCCTGTACTACGAAGCTGGTTCAACCTAACCTGGATATGTTTGAGTTAGCCGGTTGGCCCAATCCAAAACATACGCGCTCTGGCTAAACTGTACTACGACGCTGGTTATCAAGTGGATCGCTCAAGCCAGCCGTGTCCTATCTAGTTAGGTGCGCGTTCACATGAAAGGGGTGGTATGTGGAGCATTCGACCAATCTCAAACACAGACAAGCGTACTGACAGCGCAGCGTCATACTTCCTGAATGAAAAGTGAACTTTAATATTAGTCAAATATGAAGAAGTTAAACTTTAAACATCCATGACTTAAACACTTTATCCAGGATAAAAGCCACATAGCTGCACCTGCAAGGTGAATACAGCTGGTAAAAGAAAAAGTGTTTGAATGCGTACATTAACAGGTTTATGAAATCACTGCCCCGTCCAAGACACGAGTGGATCTGACTTTAATTACATTTGACTCGAGTGTTTCGTCAACTTAATGTGTTGCTTAAAATAATACTTCTGCATACAGTATGTGACACTGTGAGTGTTGCACGGCCAGATACGGCTCAAGAAGCTGACTCAAATAAGGAAATATATGATACATTATGATGTGATATGATATGAATGATAATGGGACACATCGACGTCTGCACTCACAGTGCCGCGGACTGTACTTAATGTTACTCTGATCCGGTTACTTATGTTGTGGCAGATATTTAAGTAAGCTTTCTTAACGCTAATATTATAATAGTCAGATTGGTCTGAAGATGGGAGGGGATATTCTATTAATTTTCACGTTCACACAGTCAGTTGATTTTGGCCGGCCGTCTTTCCTGCAACGGCAGTTTTTCTGTATTTCCTCTATCCTGTAATATGACTTGATAGCTTTAAACTCCGCACACGGAGCTCTGATTGGTCAGCAGGCGGTGCTTTCACTGAGTTGATCTCTTAGCCTGCCACCTAACCTGCTCCGGAGCAGGTTTGCCGCTCAGCATAAGTTACCATGGAAATCTAGCCTGCTAAAAAGAGAACCAGCGTCGTAGGACCGGAAAGCCCGAGATTTCCCTGAAGTTAGCCGGCTAAGCGAAAATCCAGCTTCGTAGTACAGGCCTCTGATGTTACACATTCACACTAGGGGAAGTTTAAGTCTATCACAGATAACATCTGAACGCCCCTGATTACTCTGTAAAAGTTGAACTGGTGTGTATGTATTATGGTCCTTCAATACATCTACACTAGTATATGTTGTGATTTAAAGTTAAACCATTATTTGTTTTATTTCATTACGTTTGTATTGTTTGTTTTTTGCCAGATATAATACAATATATGTTTGTAACAATTTGTTAATTCTTTTCAGATTATGTCAGAATGTCAGTACTACTAAATACATACACACACTAAACAGTGGCACATAATTCACCATATGGTTACTATATTGATATAGAGTAAACAAACTCTTAAGAGAAAAAACGTATCTTTAACTTTATATATTGTGCATTTTGTTTATTTGGACCATTAGGAGGAATCAGGGGCAAGAGAGAAGCGAGAACAGAAGAAAAATGAATGATTAAAGAGGCAATAGATTGTTTACACAATATAATCATATGTATATAATTATCATGGTATCAATATTGAATGTATTAATTATTATAGTTAACGTTAATGCCAGTATATGGCTACACTCCTCGATTTTAGCGTCTGACAGGAGAAACAGGACTGGAATTTTCCTTAACAATTTTGACCATATCTGAACCGACCAGGAAGCACACAACTTGCTGTTTCTTGTGGATCCAGAGGTTGACTGACAAGAGCACCGGTCAGCTCCTTGAGAAATAAGTTCCTCTTGTAGAATTGACCTCTCTTCCACTGCTGGCCTACAATGCACTGTGTGCTAACATACCCTGCCTATTGTGGGACATGTCTAACAGTAAGCTGTCGCACCCTTCCAGTGACATACAGACAGTGGCGGCCGGTCCATAGGGGCGCTAGGGGCGCCGCCCCACCTCTTCCCATATTGAAAAAAAAAAAAAATAATAATAATTAAAATTAAAATTAAAAAAAATATATATGTTTAAAAAAATATATATGTTTTTATTTTTATTTTTAATGAACAAGGTAAATATTATATAATTGGTATCAGTAAAATGTATAATCTACAATAAAATCTCGTTTAAAATTGTGTTACGATGTCTAAAGTTACTGATAAGTCACATGTTTCCTGCCTGGACTTGCCCATGCACCTTCTCTCGTCTGGGCGCTAAGAGAGGAGCCTTCAACCAGTGCAGCAGCAGCCACCAGCAGCTGACTGTTGCTATCTGTAACGTGTAAACTATGCCGCGAAAATATAATTTCAGCCAATCAGCGTCGTCAAAGATGACGGTCACCGGGCGCCAATGTCAGCGCCCAGTGCAGTCTGTGAGTAGTTTGGACAGTGACTCGTATCCGGTTGACGCAGTAGTTGATGAGGATGGCTTCGTGTGCAGGTGGAGTCTCCGGACCTCGGTCCCCGGCTAATTCTGTTCAAGAGCTAATCTCCAATCCTTTCGAAAGGAGAAGTTTGGCAGATAAATTGTTGCTTAAAGACCTTGGACCGGACCAACCCGATTTGAATATATCGCAGCAATCTCGTGAAAAAGACAACATTTATACACGAGGCTTCACAAGTAGCTGGTACACAAGAAAGGCTTGGCTAGCTGGATGCAAACAGGTAAATGCTGTCTTTTGTTTCCCATGCTTGGATATCACTTTATATGTAGAGAGGAGGTTTCCCATGGTTGTTAGAAGTTTATTAATAAGTGGGCATTTATCACAGAAGTGATTGTTCTGTCTCCACGTTTGTTGCATTGTCTGTGATGTATTTTCCAACGGTTATAGCTCCTGTTCTGTCCCAGCAACACTACACGGTTTGCAGCTCCACCACATTTTTGGTTTATCTTCGGTGTCGCTTAAAATCTGCTTCCCATCGGACTAAAACCTCCACGTAATCTGAAGACAGATACTTGAAGTTATTTAAACCTTTTGCAAACTTTATGTTCTTTCTTGCTCCAGCCTTGCCAGTTACATTGTACATAACACATATATTATCATTATGCTAACTGGTTGTTCGTGTTAGACGATGTAGCTTTTTCATTTCTGAGTTATTGCTATATGTAAATAAGCCTGTTTGTAAATAATCCTCAGAGAAACAAAGAAAAAACACAATTTATGACATTTTGTGCTGTGGTTATTTTTTTTAAATTGCATTTATTCACAGTTCAGTTTGAAATGCTGTAGTGACTTGTATTGAACCACTTAAATATTTATAATTAATGCTACTGAAAAGATGCTATTAATTTTATATCTCACATGCAGTTCACTGTAAAGCTACTTGGTGAAGGTGTTGGTTCATAAAACATGAACAGTTTTAAGAAAGAAAAAAACAGACCAGTTCTGAGAACACAAATTCCTGGTAAAGTAGTAGATGTTCAGGTTGATAAATAATATTTTCCACACTGAAGATTATGGAGGTATTGATCAGTCTTCTCATATTTTTAAGCCTCGATTTCTCCTTTCCCCCCCCCTCTAACATCACCAGAAGTCATCATTTAAGGGGTCATTTCTCGAAAAAAAATTTCCGGGGGGAAACCCCCCGGACCCCCCGGGTAGGTCACTTACGGTACGTCAAGAGCCCCACCAAAAAAAAAGACCACCGGCCGCCACTGCATACAGACATACCAAGGCCTCAGAACACATCACCCCCATCCTCATCCAACTCCACTGGCTCCCTGTTCAATCCCGTATCAACTTCAAAAACCTAGTGCTCACTTACAAAGCCCTACATAACCTGCCCCCCCCCCCCCCCCCCCCCCCTATCTGGCTGACCTTCTTCAGGAGTACACCCCCTCTCGCTCCCTCCACTCCTCCTCTGCTGGTCTGCTAACCGTCCCCACCCCACGCCTCGTCACCATGGGTGCTCGGGCTTTTACCTGCACTGCTCCCAGACTCTGGAACTCCCTCCCCCCGCACATCCGACAGTCAGACACAATCACCATATTCAAATCCCAACTAAAAACCCACCTGTTCA